AGTTACAATTTCTAGCTTTTTTGCAAGTGCTGTTATCTTTACTTTGAATCCAAATTAATTATTGCGCACCAGATTCATCCCTTCAGAAATTTATTTTAATATCACATATTTTTCTGTAAAATAAAATAGGTTTGTATGTAACTCTATACATTCTTCGCAATGTGACGCCGTTGCGTCACGTATTGTCAATTATGAACCGAGTATGTTGATAATATTAGACGGATTTAAGTTCGCAGGTTTTGAGTTGAAACCGGTTAAATAAATAAGCGATTAAACATAATTAAAGGGTATAACTATAATTAGACGTAAACTAACTCGGAAGTAGTTTCAGTGGGAAAAAAAAAGCCCATTAGGAATTTGAAGGACATGAATGACTAATAAATAAATACAATCCTAATCACCAACTGCGTTTTACAAAGGGTAAGCTATTCATCCGGCCGAATGAATGAAGCCAACATTTAATGCGTAAAGACTGGGCTCTTTATGGGGCTAGCAAACCTCAACACAAGGCTAGGCTAAGAATAATGTATTATTCTCAACTACCTGGAATTTCTTTTAATAAATGCTCAGGTTTGATTAGTGCGTCAAAGGTTAGGTGCGCCTACAAGACCAATTTGAAGGCCCAGGTTTAGGGATAGGGATCCTCTACTAAGGAGGAGGGGTTCCTAATATCTCTTAATTGGATCTTGGCCTTTGATTTATCAATTTATCAATCAAAGGCTAAGATCTCCTCATGAGCAAAAGTAGTGGGAGGATGAGGATGAGATCTTGGTATTTGATTAATAAATCAAATGGTAAGATCTCTTTATTAGGAGATATTAGGAATACTATGCATTAGTAGAGGATCCCAATATCAGGTTTAGGGTGCCAATGTGTCCACATGTAGCTCAAGGTTCAGCGTGAAATTCATAGGCCTTGGTTTTTTATCCAGTATGGACCCAAGGACACACAATTCAAGAACTCTTCACTGGTAAAAATTTCATGGGGAAAATGAGTCATACATGTTAAGGGGGTGTTTGTTTCACCAAAAAATTTGGCATTTGGGTGGGATTCCAAATTTTAGGATGAAAAAGTGATAATTTTTAGCTTTGGGAATTCACTAGTTCGTGTTTGATTCCAAAATTTTTTTGGCATATTGAATTCTAAAATTGCGAAAAGGTACCAAGTTTAAAGATTTGCAAAATCATATCAAATGGAGAAGAATTGGGGTGTTAGAGCAACTCCAAGGGGCTCCCTATCTCATGTCTTAGAGCAAATTTAGGGAGTAGGAGGGGGAAATTTGGCTCCAACAAGCTCCCTAAATTGAAGACTAAATATAGGGTTTATGATTTGGTATTCCAAATCAAGGACAAGAAATGACTCGCTATATCAACAGTTCTATGCAACGGCTCTTTGATGCAATAGCTATATTTGCATTCAAGCTCCTCATTCTCCTTTCATCAATATATATTGCATCTTTGTATAGGATAAGTTAGTTCATCTTATAATTATTTTGCACTTGACATTCTACTATTTTTCTTTAAATGTAAGTAAATTAGTTCATCTCTTAATTATATCTCTCATATTTTATACTTACAACTGATTTATTAGTTTTCATTTCATTCTAGTTTTTTTAAAACTAATTATAGTGTTGATATTAATTTGTATTATTTTTGGACAGATGGATTATTACACTTCTCTACTAAATCAGGGATCCTTGCCTGATAGTGGTCTATTGGATAAAAATCCCAATCAATCTGTCATGCCAGTTGAGTCAACTAAAAATAAATTTTCTAGAAAAACCGGACGGACGAAAAACTTCACCGTGGAAGAAGACATTCTACTTCTATCCGCATGGCTCAACATAAGCACGAATGCAGTGAAAGGGATCAATAAAAAAAAAAAGACGTTGGGAAAGGGTGCATGATTACTTCCATCAATTCAAGAATTGTGAATCTCAACGGACAACAAGTTCTTTAATGAAGCGTTGGTCGTTAATTTAACTTTCGGTAAATAAATTTTGTGGCTTACTAAGCTCGAATTTCAGCAAGGTAACAAAGTGGTCTTAGTGAGAGCGACAAGGTATTAATTTCATTCAAAAATTTTAATATTTTATTTACGTATAATAATTTTTAAGTAGACTTAATTTCTAAATAGGTGTGTCAAGCAGTGGAATTGTACACGAGCACCTAAAAGCATCCATTTTAATTTTTTTTCATTGTTGGAGAGAATTAAAAGATGCACCAAAGTGGAGAATTGATAATTCTAAAAAAAAATCTAAAACTTCAAACAAATCTAGTCGTGCAAGTTCCATTCCTTCAAGTCCAGATACAATAAATTTGGGAGAAGATGATATTACTCGTGATACCTTTTCCGAAGGATTGGAAAGTTCAATATGAAGAAAAGCTACAAAGGAACTGTTAAGAAAGAGGAAGATAAAACATGCAATTGATACGAGTATGTCTACGACATTGAAATTTGAAGAGTTCGTTGAAAAGCTTGGTGTGAACAATCAGAAGAGACAAGAAGAACTTGACAGAATATATGCTCAAGAGCAAGCGAAGATTCTTATTAAGAAAGAAAAACTTCGATTGGAACAACAAAGAGAAGATGCAAGAATCATGTCAATTGATACTAGTAACATGGATCCAATGCAAACAGAATATTACAAACTCAAGATGCGAATCATTGCTGAAGGACTTGATGGTAGTTTTAATTAGTTGTCATTGTTTAATAAGTATTATGTTGTAAGCTGTGCTATTTTCACTATGTGTGTTTTTATGTTGTTATGTATCATTTTCAGTAATTAAGCTTATGTTGTTTGTGTGGTTGAATTAAAAAAAATTATGTTATCATTTTTAAAATTTTTTGGACATATCATTGAGTGCAAACACAAAGCTACATAAAGTCTTGACAAAAAAATACAATAGCATAGTACAATAATATAAAATACAATAATATAGTTGCAAACACATATCTAAATAGAAAATACAATAATAATATTAAAAACACGCAATGCTTCCTAGTCTCGACCATGTCGTTGCCACAAATGCTCGTAAGATCTGCCTAAAACTGAGAATGTGTTTGTCTGTCTCTAATGCGATTGTGGGCTTGAATAAATTTAAGAAATTATGGTGTGCGCTCACAAGACAATGATATAGTTGGACTTTCATCGATTGCATCATAGTTGAAATCGCATTGATTAATATCCCGCTCATCTTCAATGATCATATTATGCATTATGATGTTGGCCTTCTTGTTTTGATGATGTTTAACAAACAATTTATCACTAATGTTGTTTGTCTAGTATTTATGTTTTCTTACTTATTATAGACAAACAACGTTGTTGGATGATGGATGAAATAGCGCTTCAACGATCATATCCAGTGAAGGTTGGCGGAATAGTAGGTGAAGCTTACGCAATTCTAGTTCAAGATCCAAGTTCAGCTTCATCCGCACAGTGTACCAAGTTGAGCTACAATGAAGATCAAGATCATATATACATACATGTGTTTTTGAGTTTTCATGTTTATAAATATGAAATCACATGTTTCATATTTATTATTGTGTTTTTGAAAACATTGCATAAAATATGTAATTTTGTGAAAATATTATTTTCTTAGTTTTTGGACTTAACAATAATCATATACATATTTTATTAAGTCTATATAATCATTCTGCAAAGTTTCAAAACATGGTTTAGCCTAAATGTTAAAATTCACATGTTTACATTTTCGTGTTTTGAACTATTTTTACAAAATGATGATTTTTCACAAATGGAAAATGCAATTTAGAAAATTCTTTTTGTAACATGTTCATTTACATGTTTATATACATTTCCCAAAGTTTCATAATTTTTGAACTTCATTTGTTATTTTTAACAATTTTCCAAAAGTCAAAAAATCTGTTTTCAAACCTGTTTTTCTGTAGTATCTGTTCGCGGTCGACCGTCACGGTCGACCGCCCATGAGTTCAGAAACTCACTATAGGTTTTTATGGCTCGCGGTCGACCGTAGCGAGTCCAGAGAGTTTCACAGTCGACCGCCGCTTGTCCAGAGCAGTAGTTTGGTTTTTTTTGTTGCTCGCGGTCGACCGCAGCGATCGACTGCCGCACTGTCAACTCAGTTTCAACGGCTATTTTTAGAGCCGTTGCAGAATGATTTTTTGGTCTTTTTCTTGTCTTTCTCTTACCTTTGGGGTTTCATATAAATACCCCCCCTTACCTCAGTTTTATAAGACAAGCAAGAAATGTTTTAAAGAGTTTTAATCAAGGGTTTAGGTGTGTTTATAAGCTTTTAAGCATTTGAGTGTTTTCGGTTTGGTGAATCAGTTTTACAAGAGCTTGAGGAGATTATCAATTGTATTTTGGGCATTCAATCCATCTCCATCTCTTGTAATCAATTGAGAAGTTTTCTAAACTCAAACTCTAGCTTTACATTTATATACTTGTTTGATTATCATTGTTTTTAAGCTAGATTTTATATTTGAGTTTAGTTGATTTGATTTTATTTACTCATTGTTACACCCACCCACTTTGAGCTTATTGTATTTGCATACATAGTATATTAGGGTTGTGAGAGATTGTAACATTGAGTTGTGCTTAATTGAGTTCTCATCTATTGTAGAGAATAAATTTATATTTGTTTACCCTTGTGTTAGTTTACATATCCTTGCATATATCATATTGTATATCTCTTTGGTAGGATATATCACCTTGTGTTAGTTTTATATCCTTGCACATACATTGCCTATATCTCTTTGTTAGGATATTTCTTGTTGTTCATATTGCTTATCCCAGCTCATATAACTAGTTGTATTTCATACTTGCTAGGATAACTTGTTAATTAGTTTTAATTAGCATTTAAATCGGATTAGATTAGCATAAGACCCTAATCACCCCCCCTCTAGGGTCTAACATATGATACATGCTTTCATAATATCTTTCAGTACTTCTTAATCCCAAAATCGCGCTGGTCCACGCACAATTGCAAAGTGTGCTTGGAGGACCCTAAATGCTCGCTCTACATCATTTCTTGCAGATTCTTGAGCTTGTGCAAAATTTTCCTCTTATTTACTTGTGAAACTGAAATTATTTTTACAAATGTTGACCATTGTCGGTATATACCATCAGCAAGGTAATATCCCATCATATACTCATGAGAATTAATAGAGTAGTTAACTGGAGGAGCACGACCTTTAGTAAGTTTAATAAAGAGATTTGACCTTTTCAAGACGTTAATATCATTATAAGATCCCGGTAACTCAAAAAATGCATGCCATATCCAAAGATCGTATGAGGCAACGACTTCCAAAATAATTATTGGCTCATGGATGTGACCATCATACATCCCATGCCACGCAGCCGGATAATTCTTCCATCTCCAATGCATACAGTCTATGTTCCCTAACATTCCAGGAAATCCGCGTAGTTCACCAATCTCGAGCAATCTTCTGATATCGTCGTTGTTTGGTGATCTCAAATACTCATCGGTAAAAATTACAACAATGACCTTAACAAACTTTTTAACACTTTCAATAGTCGTGCTTTCACCAATCCGTACGTAATCATCCACAAAATCTGCAGATACTCCATAAGCAAGCATTTACAGCGGCTGTTATTTTTTCAAAGGGTGATAAACTAAGATTACCTGCAACATTCCTTCTTTGGACAAAGTAAGGATCAAAATCTTCCACCGCGGATGCAATTCGGAGAAAAAGTGGAAGATGCATTTGAAACCTCCTTCGAAATAGTTGTGAACCAAAAACGGGCTCCTCAGCAAAATAGTCGCGATAAAGTCTATTATGACCTTGAACTCTATCGCATTGAATGACAGCATGGCCTCGAACAGAACCAAGACGACGTGATGCACTCCTCTCGTTAGCCACCCGCTCCTCTTCAACCGCCGTCATTCCTAAGAACATTGCGTATTCCTCGTCAGCTTCTTCTTCCATGAGGAGCGCAGCTATTTCGTTGTTATGAGACATAGATGACATTGGAAAAATGATGCTAACAATGAACACAATTTGAGTTGAGTGAAAAGTGAGAGTGCATATGATATTATTTATAGAGGTCATATAACCGTTATGATATAGCCGTTGAAATATAGCTGTTGAAATATAGTCGTTACAATATAGTCGTTGAAATATAGTCGTTATAATATAGCCGTTACAATTATTTATTACAAAAGGAGGTAAGTAAAAAATGTCCAAAACTATTTAGGAAGCCATTTGGGAAGCATTGTTGGAGCACTTACTCCTTATTTGGCTCCCTATTTCCTAGGATGAGAGATTTGCTCATCAAATATAGGGAAAATCTAAGATTACTCTTGGAGATGCTCTTATATCTGACACCCCACTCCACATCATATCCCACCCCAATATTTTCTTCCTCTAGGTTTCAAAGAGAGGCCTTATTATCACCGCATCCCCCATTTTTCTCCCTTCTCTTTTTTACTCGCCGCCTGCATGCCATTCTGCTGAAAAACCACATCCCTCTTCATCAAAATCGGCTGAATTTTCTAGCGTCAAAATCTCATCCTAGATGGAGAGTGGCTGTTCTTATTATAGCTTGCGGTTTGGAAGATTAGCTGGAGGTGAAAGCTTCAATTTGGGGGTTATTTCGCCGATCTTGTTCTTTCACGCTTTCATCTGAAACTCTCTGAATCGGACGGTAGCTTTCATCTCCTCTCTTTTGATTAAAGTTTCAAAGGCGATCAGGTGAAATTGATTAGGGTTTCGAATAAATTAGGATTACAAGCACTGATTGTTAATTTTATACTATGATGTTAATTTCTGAAGTGAGTTTGGTGTTTGATGTTTGGTTTATTGTTTGATTAATTCTTTCAGAGATGTGCGCCCTCCACTAGGTCTTAATTGACTAATGCTTGGTTTATTGGATTACAAGCACCGGTTTATTGTTTGAAGTGAGCACTGATTGTTTGATTTTGTGGTTTATTGGATTACAAGCACTGGTTTATTGTTTGAAGTGAGCACTAATTGTTTGATTTTGAGATATGAAATCAAAGATGTTGGCCATCTCCGGTTCTTATGAGTTTAACTCTATGATGTTCTACTTAATTGAGCTATCAGTTATCCTTCTAAATCTTTGGTTAACTCTCAAGTCTCAATCCTGCATAAATGATAGTGATAAATGATAATTATACAGGAAAATTCTGTGTTTTCTCTGTTGTTAATTCTCTGATTAGGAAATATCAAGATTAGGAAATATCAGTTGTCATTCATTTTAGAATTTCTTAACTTCATTCAATTTCAAGTCCATTATTGGAATGCAATCTACAATATAATTTCATTTATTTTTACATTTTTTATTTACATTATCTCAGGTTAGTTTATAACCGTTTATAGCTGTTGGAGTATAAATTTGAATGGGTATGATTATCCCAATTAAATACAATTGTATTTGTTCTTTTGTGGGAGGTAAGCTCACCAAAGATTATTATATTCACCAATCATTATTTTGATAATATTAAATTTTGTTTGCTACAATTATATATTTCAAATTCTAAAATTTGTAATGTTACAATTTGAGTTTGAAATAAAAAAATTACAAATTATAGTATTGCATATCTGGAATATTGATGACATAAACAACATTTTAAAAAATCTCAACCCATGTTAAAAAACCTATGGATTTCAAATCCTATGGATTTCAAATACCATAGTGAAATCCACATCCTAAAGTTATAGGATTTGAAATAAACACCCACTAGTACCATTTCGTTAGTAGCAAAATCTGTTTTGATGATAATAAACGGGTCAGATATTCTTCCGCTACCTCAAAAATAGTTTGGGAAAATTTCACTAATCGCCCAGAACTTTGAGGCTACTGCACATAAATCTCCCTCAACTTTGTTTATACAATTTAACCCGCCAAACTTTGGGCAGTCTAACTTAACCCCTTTGAACTTTGAAGTTTTTCAAACAAAACCCTAACCTCGTCTCGATAACAGTGAAATGACCCACAACTCCTTAAGCCTTCTGCCACCACCTGAACAGGACCGGAAACTCTGTTTAAATGGGCAAGTGCAAAATTCCCGCCTTTTTATACATCAGGTTCTGGTCGTTGAAACTAACTTCGTTAACACAAGGCACTGACATTTAGCATCGGTTGATCCAATCTTTATGACATTTCTCCAATTATGTATTCTGGGTGACCAGAATGTTATCAACGGAATATCTATCGATGATGCTCGTTTGCAGTTAAAAAATGTCATGGTTATTGAGAATGAACGAGAAACTCTCTAGTACAAGGATGAATAACTTGCCTCAGCTATTATCTGTTGTCAGTTGCTTGAGTAATTTCAGCATACCAACTCTTCCATGCCTCCAAGTAGTGAGAAAATAGGTCACTCAAAGCTGTCAATTGAGAGAATAGATGATTAGATGACCATATCTTTCTTTGAATTGGAAAACAATAGTCACAACGCATACAATGTCACTATTTGCAAATGTAGTCTGCTTAACATTAGAGCCATAAATATAGATGAAGATGAGGATATAGCGCCTAAATATGACCAGTATGCAATAAAACAGTGGTCTCTTAAGGCTAAAATTTAATCTGTTTTCCTGAATCAGAAGTTGTTCAGGGCTTTAGATATTTAGTGCAGGAAGAGAAGTTAACCAATCATTTACATGTTACCACAGTCTGCATGTGTCTCTTACTTACTACTTTGTGCTTGAAGTGTTTGAACAATGGTAAGCAAACATCCACAAGCTCAAGAGTTAAAAAAAGAAGGGGGGAAAAACATTTGTAGTACATGAGACATTGAAACTTCATTCACCATGGATCCAGTAAAGAATCGTGATATAGTCAACTCCTAGAACTGGGTTGTACTGTTGCATACCTAATGGTTGCTTGGTAAAATTAGATCTGTTTAGTGAGCAATAATAGAAGTTATGTACCTAGTCCTGATGCCAGATTCTAATGCTGTGTTGCTTGGTTTTGATTACCTGACTATTGTAGGATCTAGAATTCTGCTAATGAACAAAACCAAGTTAGGGCTCCAAAGTAGAAACAGAAACTAACAGAAGAGGTGAATTCCATTGAAACGCAAACATCAAAGGAGTGAAAATCATGATGCATAACCGACAAAATCTAGCTTACGGAAAATTACAAGATAGGCAAAGTTGTGCCCGGCGTTCTAAATGGCAGATGTATGGGGGACAAGTCCACCAAAAAAACTCCATATGAGATAGCAAATATAGGGGATATTTTGGAGATATTTAATAAATATAAGGGTACCAATGACGGATAGTGTGTATGTCATAGATGCTCATGCTTGATGCACCAAAAAATTAGCTTTGGAGAAGGGTGGTATCTTTTGCAATTGCAAAATTGCAAAAGACTAATCCTTCTTTTCGGACCTTCCGGTTATTAACATAAGCAAATATTTATTTGGATTTTAAAGCTCAATTGAATTATAAATCCAAACCTCTCTATAAACAAATCAAAGTGCAAATTTACACTGCAATATTTCAGTCCATTTTTGAGGGCCGAAATGTTTCCCCATGTATCTGGAAAATCATGATATGTCACCCAAAAAATGCCGAAAGCTGACAAGGATATTAAGACTAAATCATTTTGCAACAAACATTATAAAAATACATATCAGCTGATATATTGACAAGGTTAGATATATTTTAAACAATAGCTATGACATTTCTTTTAAAATGGTGTAATATAAAAGGTTAGTTGGGAAATGTTTGCAATACATACACAGAGTCACCAAATTTCAGTAAGAAAAACATCAACAGGAGAAAAGCAATGGCAAGATCAGAATATGGACAATTGAGGCATGAATCAAACCTTGGTTGTGATAATCAGGGCGGAAGGAAGATGCCATGGTCTCCCAATTATAAGCTTCCTTCCCTCTTTCCTCGATGCTTTCTTCTCTTTTAGGCAGAACAGCGGGAGAGAAAGGCCCAAAAACATATCCTTTAGAGGTCTGCAATTGTCTCTGAACTGCAAGATTGCATTCCTTCAGATCATCATGTTTTTTGTACACTTTGCAAGGCTTTTTGTCAGCATAAGAGATTGATTTGCTCCTTTTTGCTAAGTCTGCATTTGTTATATCCATTCCAAAAGCTCTCTTATGACCTTGCTTTGGACTGGATGGTACAGCAATTGCAGCACTTCGCTTCCCATTTAATCCGAGCCACCTAAATGCTGGCTTCCTTGTCTCACTATGGTGTGTCTGCAAAAACAATTAACATTACAAAAAAGATGGGTCACAAGAGAAAATTATTCTTTCTTCTTCATCTTCTCACACTGTAAGTATATTGGTTCTTAAAGCATACCTTCTCAATGAGATTGAGTGAAGAAAGGACGTTTGCTATGTCATAAAGTCTTCGTACTTTGGCAGCATTATTACCTTAAAAGAAGAAATAGGCATAATCAGTTTACTTTGAATGAGGAAAAACAAATTAAACAAGTTCTATAAAAGGGGTGAAATAGAGGTTAGTACTTTTCGGTTGAGATGGGTCATGGACTTCCCCAAGCAGTATTTTTGCTGCTTCATCGAGTGAGATTGTATCCACCTATTAACAAATTGCCAGCAATAAGTGAATATTTAGCATAGCAAAGCAACATTTAGACACGACACTATGAAAAACTTAAGTGGCAATTGAAACAGTAGGATGTTTATGTAACAATCTAATGACAGTGTTGAATGGAAATTTAGCTTACTAAGGCCTCAATAAACATTGAAATTGACATCAAAAGACAATAAATTTACATCACTAAGGTATTTTTTTGGGTCTTCATATTAGTAACCACATTAAATTTTGATTTAAGATTTAATGCGGAGTATAACAAATCATGATAACAATATAAGAGTTGCAATTGCGTACTTCTGAGGTGAGAAACAGCTTGACAAAATTCTCGGTGAGCATACCAAGTGATTTTTCCCTCCTATTCTCTGGAGCTGTACAGAAACTGAAGTCAACAACTAAGAATAGGGTTTATCTTCAATTAGCATTAGCATCAGGAGGAAAAATGGATATCTATATCATTACCAGGCTTTCCCTTTAACGAATTTGAATCTCCGCTCTGATCTAAAGATTTGTCATCTTCATCATCCTCTACATCCTTTCCCAAACAAAAGAGAAGTCAACATTAATCAATGAAATACATCAAGACTCACAATTAAAAGAGAAGAAATTAGGCAGAAAACAGACCTCAACGTTTAAGGACTTGGGTTCAGTGGCAGACCCAGAATTCTCCCTCAAGGCCTCTTCCTAATTCCAGGTCAAGAAAATTTCAAATTAGGGCACAAGAGAGAAAAGTGCCCAAGCTCCAAAAATTATCGGAGAGATTATATGTACCTTGAGTAGCTCCAAGGCCTTAGGGATCCCAGAAAACCCTATCCAAGAGTATCTATTCTTTGCTTTCCTAGCTAAGACCTAAATGGAAAAAAAAAATCAAATTAAATAAAGCAAATCAAGAACCCTAATTTTGAGAGAAGGGAAGAGAGATCCGACCCCAACACTTTCCAAGACATTGACAATATCGTAGATCCGCCGTCTCTCGACCCCCAATTTCTTCGCAGCGTCATCGAGACTTATCGATTCGACGTCATCCCTATTGTAAAGGCTCACGAAACTACACAAGAATATCAAGAAAATTAGACAATTATCGCGACTTAAAACAAAACCACTAATACGAGATCACCCATTACTTGGAGCACAAGAGCCCCAGAGATTTCTGCTTCCTGCTGTAGGCATGAGTCAATCCGCCTCCAGATTCCAGAAAAATCGAAGACGACGACGACATTTCTTGCGATAATTCACAAATTCGGACTAAATTTCGAAGAAATTAGAGAAAAAGAAGGGCATGGTGGGGAGCGGGGGGATTTTTCCCTAGGACAGTTGTGATGGAAAGCTGAGGGTTTTTTAATTTGGGGACGATGGCGGAAGAGAGGGCGGCGAGAGCAATTTGGGAATAGTTTCAAAAAATTTTAATTCGGAGTTCCCGGTTTTGCCCCCAGGACCGGGGGGAATCGAAGGCCGATCGCGGGGATTTGGGTTTTCAAATTTTGCACACAAGCGCGTAAGCAAGTCTAAAGTCGAGAATGGACATGGTTTTCATGGACAGGTGTCGGTTTTCTCAGTGGCAATATTGTAAATGGATAGGGGATCGGCTGCATTTTCTACCAGTGTAAACGTCAGTGATATATGGTGGAGGATCCACCGGTTTGTTGCGCGCCATGGATTTCAGTTTTTAAATCGTAACAAACTAGCACTGTATTAAAAAGATTTATAGAAAATTTATTTTTGTTAATGAAATAACAAATAATTTAGCATATGTACTCGCTTTCAATTCATTAAGTTGTTGTTATAAAAAAACATTGAAAATATAATATGATTTAAAATAAATAAGTGATATTGCCATGTTATCTTTATTTTGATTTCGTAAACAAACACTGTACGGAAATATACACTTTCTTGCAAAAAAAAAAAAGACTTTCGAGTCACTTTCAATTTGCTAAACACCCCCCTTAACTTCTAAGTAGCATTTCGCAAAAACACCCTGAAAGATATGTCTAATTGCAGATAATCTCTTTTGGTTAAATATGCAATGTCAATAGGTATACAATGAACTTGACAAACAACGGGTTTGTGCATAAATATTTGCCCAGATCCATTTCCTTCCTTCCGAGCCCAAAAAAAAAAAAAAATTGTCATCGAATAACGGATCTACAATTTTTTTCCTTGAAATAGAGTTAAAAAAGGAAAAACTAGATATGAACTACTCTGAATTTTTCATGTGGTCATACAAGTATACACACACCTACAAAAACTGAGTCAGTCTGTAGAACCTCTAAGATCTTTCATACATATATGAGCTTATACCAAGTTTCTTACAATTATATTTTCATGTTGCAGTCTTTCGATTCACTGCTTCAACGAGTTCGCTCCTCGCCTTTTCTAGCGCATCCAACAGCTTTTCTGGTTTCCTGCCGCCAGCCTGAGCAAAGTTCGGCCTGCCACCACCTCCACCACCACAAATTTTTGCTATACCTCCTATAAATTTCCCTGCTTGAAGTCCCATTTTAATAACTTCAGGGCTAAATGCAGCAACCAAGCTCACTTTTCCATCACCAGGGCATGAACCCAAAACAACAGCTACAGGATCTGGGAGTGAGTCCACAAGATACTCTGCAGCACTCTTTAGTGCATCAGCATCGGTGTCATCCATACTCTCAACTATCGCACTGTAAAAGTTTTTTCTCTTGAGCTCAGACAAATCGTCGTTTAGGGAAAAGGAAAGTAAAAGAAAAGGAATTGAGGTTGTTTGTGATACCTAACATTAGAGTTTCCAATTTGGAAGGCTTTGCTTGCCATAGCTGATGCCTTCAATGTTGCCATTTTGTTGCGCTTGGTACGGTTGGTACTCGGTTGGTACGGTTGGTATTGGGTTTCTACCAAGTATGTCTTTTGCTAGTCAGTCTGTAGAAGCTCTAAGATCTTTCATACATATATGAGCTTATACCAAGTTTCTTACAATTATATTTTCATGTTGCTGTCTTTCGATTCACTGCTTCAACGAGTTCGCTCCTCGCCTTTTCTAGCGCATCCAACAGCTTTTCTGGTTTCCTGCCACCGGCCTGAGCAAAGTTCGGCCTGACACCACCTCCACCACCACAAATTTTTGCTATACCTCCTATAAATTTCCCTGCTTGAAGTCCCATTTTAATAACTTCAGGGCTAAATGCAGCAACCAAGCTCACTTTTCCATCACCAGAAGCAAGACTTATTAACATTGACCTGAAGAATACCATTTCCTCAAAGGATAAATATCTTTCTCAAGCTCCAATGTCTTTCTTTATTAACATAATTCCTACATATATATATATGTTAATATAACTTAAAATGACGGTAACACTCCAATGTTTTTCTCAAGCTCCAATATCTTTCTCAACCTCCCATGTCATTAACTCAATTCCTACAGCTATCAGTTGATATAACTTAATATGACAGTAACACTATAGTCAAAATGATTTTACAACAATAACAATCTTTAACAGTTTAAGAAGTCTGGGCAGAACTTAGAGATAAATAAATTCAAAGTACTTGTTCTCTCTTTCTCTGTACAAAACTTCAGAGGAAGTTGCAGACAGGTCTAGTTTCAGTTAAGAGAATTAGTGACAAGCCAACAGCTTAACTTACGTTGCTCATTATCCGAAAAGTTGACATAAATTTCACCTAGAGCTACGTCTAAGCAAACACAGAGATTGTAAAATCTTCGTAATAGGAACTCAATGGTATCAACATTTACAAAAAGATATTTATAGGACATCACCCTAGTCTTAGGAAATATTCTAGAGGTAATAAATCCATGTCTTGAATGGAATGAGCCCAAGTCTTGACGGAATGCAACATTCCATCTTATTCCCTCTCTAAATAGCAATTACTCCTACACCTAACTCTTCTGGCAAACAGACCTCTGTCTGACAAACTTCGAGGGTATTGTTGGTTGGCTCATGGCCAAATCCAAGATTTTACTGTTTTTTGATGAAGTGAATAGCAAGAGCTCTGAAGAAATGATATACCTGTTCTCCATACTTCTCACCAAACATTGCAATGGCGCCTGATTTCTTGGCATCTGCCAAGGCCATAACTTTTGTTTGAAGATTTGTTGCATCACCAATCCACTGGTTAATTAATACCTCAATTTCCACAATCTCCTGATCTGATAGGGGGCGATGGAAGTTAAAATCAAAGCGTAGACGGTCGAAAGCCACCAAGGATCCGGCTTGTGAAGTGTCTTGACCAATAACACTTTTAAGAGCAGCTTGTAGAAGATGTGTCGCGGTATGGTGAACCTGAAACAACAGAAATATATCAGGATCAGGTTAAAAGAATAAAGTAAAGAGTCAGCAAGATGCAACATGATGACAGAATTTGAAAAGCAAAATGTTTGACCTCAGTCTGAGTTGATGTAATTAATGCATATGCTGGAGTAAAGGGGATTAGGTAGTAATATATACAGGTCACTTGGATACTGAATTGGTAGGAAGTCTACTACTTCAGTAGTTACCATTTTCAATTGTAGCTTTATGGAATATTTTGCTGATCATTAAAACAACTCAGAAAGAAAATAGTTGAGCATGATTGTCCTTCAAACTCACATCATTTAATGTTGGCGAATGATGTTATTTCCATGGATGAAGAATTACAAAAAAAAAAAATCAAAACACTGATTTCTATTGAGTGGTGAATGTCCTGGTTGTGGCGTCTATGCCGTAACATTTGTATAGTCTTTACAAACATCTTGGTTCTCCTTGTTAGTGTGCTATCTTAGCATCATGGTGGACAAAAACACTTGTAGCATGACTCATGCATTTTATTCTTCACCCTTGTCAAGTATCTTTGTTTAATCAAAAGGTATCGTAGTCACCTATTCGGTCAGAGCATCTATGATCTGTAATTAGTCGATTGCACTAGTAACAAGTAAATCCCATGTCTCCGCGTCTTGACATCTGACAGAAAGTCCAACTCAATATTCAATGCTACTTTTATATATATATATATATATATATATAGAGAGAGAGAGAGAGAGAGAGGAGCTAGGCTACTATTAATAGCATCCAACATGTGGATATATATATGCGTGCGTGTGTCTACATTTATAGTTCATATCTAGTCTAGAGGTTCAAGTGTCAAACAAGGTAAGCATCTATTTTTGATGCCTTAAGATGATGATTCGCTCCATATTTAAGCCGAAAGACAACTCAACGGCAAGTTGTGATATAACTAATGATAAAGGAAACAAGAATGTCTTAAAACACCAATAGAAAATAATCGAAAATATACCCAGTGTTTATGCAATATAGAAAAATAGAAACAAAAACTAAAGAGAAAGAAATCAGCATAATTCACACGCGCGAGCACACATGCCCACACACCCACCCACAGGCGCGCACACACACACAAGAAACTCAGTACTAAGATGACTGATATGCGAAGGGGGAAGAGGATAAGCAATACAGTAATATATAAAAAAGAAATTTTCGAATTCATTATTGACACCTCTCAATCTAACTAGATAAGTTTAAATCATAGATGTAAATATGCCAAAAAAAGAAGTGCATTAACATCAGATTATAGTGAAGAATGGAACCCGAAAAGAAGTGGACGTCGTACTTTTGCTCTTTGCCTTAACTTTGAATCAACTGCAGCATCCACTTCAGAGCCAATCTCTATAACCCCCTCTCTGATTGTACCTTTGTGAACAAAAACATTTCCAAGGGACTTCTTGACATCTTTGATCTCCACAATAGCTTTCTGTGCACTATCTTCAGCTCCCGTGGCAAATAGAAAACCGTTGTCTCCAATCTGACCGCCTGATTCAGCATAAAATGGTGTTCTATCCAACAAGATCTCTACATCCTTTCCTTGAGTGACCTGTGTTACTGGGTCACCATTAACTAATAAGCCCTTAATAACAGCATTAGCAGAAAGAGAGTCATAACCTAAAAATTCAGTATCAGAAATACTCTCTGCAAACTCATTGTCACTCTCAACAGAAAGTTTAACTACATTGTGAGCCGCCTGAGACCGACGCCTCTGGCTTTCCATTTCAACATCAAACCCCTCCATATCCACAGATACCCCTCGTTCTTCAGCAACTTCAGTTGTTATCTCCACTGGGAAACCATAAGTATCATACAGCAGAAATGCATCTTTACCGGAAAGACATGGGCTATCTCCATTTTTGCCGCTGGTTAATAAGGCATTGGACAAAAACTGGTCAAGTAGATTTTCTCCTCTCTCCAAAGTCTGCACAAATCGTAACTCCTCTCTTTTCAGCTCGTCAAGGATATGGGATGTCCTACCTTTTAAATCTGAGTCTACATGGGAACTGAGATTAATCACTGTCTTCGCAAGTACGGGTAGAAAAGCTCCTTCATGGTTCCCATGTACATCCCCTTCAATACCTAGTAACCTCCCGATTCGAACAACTCTACGTATAAGTCTTCGAACTACATAACCTCTCCCAATATTTGATGGCACTACCCCATCTGATATGAGATAAACGACTGCACGCATATGATCTCCAATAACCTGGAACGGTGAATGTAAGGTAAATTTGTTAAAAAAAGGAATAATCTTGGAAATAGAAGTTGGAAATCACTAACAAGCAGAAATGAACTCAAAACTAACTAACTGAATCTCCATAACAGGTTATACTTTAAGATTGGTCTTGGTCACATCATCTGCACTGGCATATGAGATTCTTGCTAGCTCTGATGCCTTCTCAATGATGGGAAAAATCAAGTCAGTCTCATAATTGTTGGGAACCTGGAGATGCAAGTATGAATTAGAAACAAGTTACAAGAGAATTAAAGCAAATAAATAAGCAGAAGTAAATGTCAGTTCTAATTCTAAAAGAAGATATGGAACCATCAAAGATATATCATGTTTCTGAAAATCAAACAAACTAAAAGGTTATATTTTTTTACAATAAAATTCTCTTTAATTTTTATTTCAATGGATTTAAAAAAAATAGATGAAAGCAATAATGAAAATTGGGTACCACTGGCATAAGTTCTTTCTCTTTTGATTTATTTCACAATGGATTAAAATAAAAGGAATAGATTCGAGCAGTTATAATTGAAAACTGAACTAAATTATATCAGAAATTGAGGAATCTCAGCAAACATATGGCTTCAATTCCAAATAGCATAGAATGTCTTGACTCGAATACAGCCTATTAATGTCAAGTATCCATGCAAGACTAGAAACTTAAATAAGCGTCAAGGACAATAAATGTTACCTTTTGAAGAATCCGTGCCATACGCTCAAGTCCCATGCCTGTATCTATATTCTTCTGCTTTAAGGGTTCAAGAGATCCATCATCCTTCTTGTTATATTGCATAAATACCAGATTATAGAACTCAATAAACCTATTATCATCCCCCAAATCCTGCAAACAAGTTTTTACAAGTTTCGTTTTTATTTCAATAAAACAGATCAAGAAAGAAATGAGAGTAGAACCAAAGGTATATACAGCATCTAAGTGATCCTTTTCAGGATGGAAATCATAATAGATCTCAGAGCAAGGGCCACAGGGACCAGTAACCCCACTTGTCCAGAAATTGTCCTCCTTGCCCATTCTCTTAATGCGTTCCTTAGGAACACCCACCTGATAAATTTATCAAATGTATATACGCAATAGTTAGAACATACACAATGTTAATAACAAAATTATTGAGCTATGACAAAGTCTAAGATCACAGTTAGATTTCAAAAACAATAAAAAGTCAGTTAGTATAGCAGATCATACTGACGCACATTTAAACGACTCCAGAAAGAAAATATTAATTAATTAGGAAAGCACATGAAATGTTGCATGCTTCCTGTGAAAGGGCACACCAATGAAAGCTACTAACATTGAAGCAGAAACACAAATACATAACTATTACACTTTCCCTTTCATTTCATTTACACAAGCCATTCACTTGGTCGATAGGGGCTTCAACTGTGAAGCAGTAGCAAACAAACCTGAGAACAGTTTAGGCCCCAATAGTTAGCCTCTTATGTCTTAGACCCATATAAGCTCTAAAGTCAGCACTCCATGATATGGAACTAAGCCTCAACTTCAATTGCCTATTTGGACCTGCTTACTAAATGAGGCACAGACCTGACAATTACAGACCATGGATATGGACAGTTATACTAAAACCTACGTTGCATGGACACTTCTATCATGAAGCCAAACCTGTACCCGACACTTCCCATACCCGTATATGTACTTGACTCCTTGGACACTCCTTGAATATATGCATACATTTACTCAGACATGTACTCAATTATATAATACATGTTTTAATTTAAAACACTCAATTACATAATACATAATAAAAGAAAAATAACAATGTATTATAGAAATTTTGATTCTCGTAACATGTGAAAGAAAAAACAATATTGACCTCATATATATTATTAAATTTTGATGCATATATAGCCGTGTCCTCATACCCTACTTTAGATAAATCTGTCGTGTCCCGTATCCGCACAGACCACACCCATGCCCATATCCGTACTCGTACCCATGCAACATACACGATAACTCTTCCGAGACCGCCTCTCATGATTACCGTGTGAAGATCCAAGAACTATTATTTTCTTCAAAAACTATGAACCCAAGGAAGTGCATGGTTTACCAACAAGAGTCTTAACAAAAGTTGGAACACAAAAAAACAATCTTAAATAAACGATAAGTTTTATTATGAACCATTAAGAATAGTGCAATAAGAATAGTGCAATACAAGTATGCATCATAATTTGACTATATTTACTTTGTAGGCAGAAAGGCATTCCAAAAAATTAATATAACTACAAATTTCCAAGAAAAATTAAATAGAGTGCTCCCAGAAGGCCACCACAAAACACAACCATCATAATCTGAGAACTAAAGCGCACAATTCTTCAACAAAGAAGTGATGGAGTTTCTAAGACATGAGCTGTTAATATGCATCAAACCACTTGGATTCCTGTGAAGTATTCTAGATAAGGCAGTTATCAACAAGAAGCACTCTATTACACAATGTTGAATGGGCAAATTGTGAGATACATGCAATTCAAGGTTAAAAAAAAGGAAAAAAAATCCCCAGTTACATGCTTGCCGAACAAGGGGGTTTATTCCTGCCCTCACCAGGGCGCTGTTAAGCCCTTCTCCTTATCGGCAGAAAAGAAGATTCTAGACAAACATTTTAGATGATAATCTTTCTAAGGAAAAGTAGTAATCTATCTCTAAAGCACTGTGACGAGCCAAACAGAAAATCTGAATCGAATGAGTTTACCTCGTCGTGCCATATAGAGAAAGCTTCATCGTCGTCTTCAAAAATGCTGACCCATAATCTCTCTGGAGGTAAGCTGAACCTGAAAAAGGACATGAAACACTATGTATGAGGGTATAGCGTAATAAAAGTACAATACTGTATAAATTGGAGGCAAGTAAAGAAATTGAAGAATATAGTGGATGATGTATCATGTAACAATAACAAGTTAATGATGATTCCATAATTGGTAGGGAAGAATTCATGGCATTCATCAGAATTCAATAAAAAAACACATGGAAGAACCATATGGTTTGGTCCATAAATATCTGAATACTGTATAAGCAATGTTCAGAATTACTAGGAAAAGAGATGTAAAAATCCTACAAGTTAGAAAGCTATGAACAGAACAAAACCTAGTATGTTTTTATTATGGTCCACCTAAGCGCACAACTCCCTATGTTGCTAGTATATTACAATGCATATTAGAACATTGTTACGCTCTAAATGATACGTTGAAGATCTTATACTAAATTTTCATGATTTTCAGGTTGTAGACTGTTATCTGTGTCTTCAAATTCTATGGCTCAAATTCGTTTAGTGGCCCGGCCAAAGTATATTGTGGAAAGAAAACAACGAAGAGAAATTTTGCAGAGGAGTGTGGAGGAGAAAAGGGCTTGGATCAATATGCCCAAGCTCAAAGCCTAATAGTACTATTTGGGCTCCACTGCGAATGAACCACTTTTCGTTTGGTAGCTTCAATTATGTAGCTCGTGTCCACTTTCTCATATATATTTGGATTCAATGTAGGATTATATGCTAGTCATTTAGAGAACTATGTAAATACTACCTATGTACATGTGGATGGACAAGAGAATCAGAGACATAAATGTCAATTTGAAAGCATGCAACGTTCACTTGTAAAATTAAGGATTATGAAATAATAAAAAGTTTCACTTTTTAATATCTATAAAGCAAGCATTGATCTGAAACTTTTCTCTTCTTTTTTTGTGCAAAGGAAGCAAACGACTTCAATTAGAAATTTAGGACACATGATCACAGTTCTAATAATAATTCAAATTTCCGACTCCAAACTTTATGTCCTATAGTAAGTCTTGAATAAAATCTATTAAGAAAAGGGCAAATACTAGTGGAAGTTATATCAAAGAGAACATTTAACAAACTAGCCATTTTCTTCTTTTATCTCTAAGCTGACCACTTCTGGCTATTCGACTACTACTATCAGAAAACAGAAACCACAAAAAATAATTATAGTTAAAGAAGTGCACGTAAGGGTCTATGAGTGCAAAACTGGATAAATATTCTGATGATTCCTCTGCATTGTAGTTGTAAAATTATTGATTAAAAAAATTTGATCCTCTACCAAATTAAGATAAACACACTATCTTGGCTAGGTAGCAAGTGACACCTTTCTAGCATTATAGTCGACTATCTTATAACTAAAAAACTGCAGCATATAAAGATTAGAATATCTTCTAAAGCATATTTTCATTGTTCGGGCAAAAAGATTTCCAGATAACTATGGCATACAAATTATTAATGAAAACCTATAACATTCTCCTGTTGCAAATAAAGCATATCAATGAACTCCATTTGTCAGTTAAACAACTCAAAGTTTACCGATCTAGAGTTCATGTCCCATCAGGAATAAATGCATACTCCTTAGTAGTAAGCTCCCATGCCCACTTAATCGCTTCCTTCTTGAAGTAATCACCAAAACTGAAGTTCCCAAGCATCTCAAAGAAGGTTTGATGTCGGGCTGTCCTTCCCACATTCTCAATATCATTTGTCCTTATGCACCGTTGAGAAGTGGTAGCACGCGGTACTTGTCTAGGTTCCTACAAGACCCAGTTTATAATATCGTGTCAAGACATCAAGTCCAAGTAACAGCAGACCCTTGGATAAACCATAGACAACATATAAGTAGTTATAGGAATAGAACCTCCATGCTTTACAGCATTCTCATCATCATATCTAATGAGCTAAAATTATAGAAGACTAACAATGTCAAAAGTTGATCGCAAAGAGAATTATGCAACCATATTAGTTGAAAAGGGTTTTGCAATATTATGACCTGTATCCAATATCGGACAATGAATACAAATTCATTAACCAGTTTCTCATCTTTTATATTCTGTTCAAATTTGGAAGAATCTTCACGAGCCTCAATTTATGGGCAGTGGCCTTAATTCTTCCCTGATACACTAAGAACTATTTTTTAACATAAGAATGCTTACACCTCAGCATGATCATCCAAACTGCAAATTTCTCTTTCTTAAACAATAATTTTCTCATGGCCTCTTAGTTAGACTTCCAAATATTATTCAATTAAAAAAAATCTTCACCTTCCCCAGAAAAATGGGCTTAAACTGAAGCATCCCAGCAATCGTAAGCAAAACCGTCGGGTCATCAGGCACGAGCGACGCACTGGGGAGTATCTTGTGCCCTCGTGAGGCGTAAAAATTCAAGAAACGGCTGCGTATAGCGTCTCCGCTTATGGAATCGTCCTTAGCTTTTCCTTCTTCCACTACTTCATCAGCTAGAGGTTGTGTAGGAGCTGCGAAAATAAGCGAAGATTATAGGCATCTCAGAAGCTGAATCATTCAAAAATTGGGTCTAGGTCAAGATCAGAAAAGTAACCTGATGAGTTTCTTGCTGATAACGAAGCTCTCTTATGATATCGCCGCCGATATTTAGGGTTTTGGATACAGGTTGAAGAGATCAAATTAAGAGATCTCAAAGCAATTCTGACGTGTTTCATGCCATCTAGAATTGAATGGAAAACCATCGTCCAATGTCAAAAAAAAAGAGAGAGAGAGAGAGAGAACGGCGGGAAAATATGAGAAGAGATTAGTGACCTGGCACCGTCGGAAAGGGGCGGGGAGCGTGAAGCAGCTGGATCCCCTGCATCGCGGCGGCGGCGGCGGAGGCGGTCGGAAAGGGGCGGGGAGCGTGAAGCAGCTGGATCCCCTGCATCGCGGCGGCGGCGGCGGAGGCGACGGGAGGAGGAGAATGAGGGGGAGAGTGATGAAACCGACGCTATCTGAATTTTGAGCGTGCGCCTTGGTTTTAAATTCTTGTGGCTCCTTTTATCGGGATTGAGATTTGCTTTGTGTGGGTGGGGATTTCGCCGTTCGATAACTCGGGGTTGAGTCCTGTTAGCGTTTTCAAAGTGCGATACTTTGAGGGGCTAATTTGAAACAAATCGTAAAGAGCTGGGCCGAATGGCAATTTAAATGATGTGAGGGACTTATTTAATATTAGTTGAAGATTTAAAAGGGAATAATATAGGAAACACCTGAAAATTGAGGAAGTCATGCAAATTTATTATAAAAAAAGACACTTTAAGGAGTATTTCTGAAAAATAATGCTTCAAGCTAGGGCTGAGCACGGTTCGGTCCAAACCGAAAAAACCGACCGAACCGACCCGAACCGACCCGAAAAAATCGGTTTTAAGAGTAGGGCGGTTCGGGTCGGGTTGAAAACTTTTCAACCCGAACCGACCGAATACCCCATGGTCTAAATATCCATTCTGCTCAAACCCGACCCGTCCCCAAAGACAAAGTCTCAAACTCTCAAACCCTAAACACCTAAACTTTCCTTCCCCCTTTCCCAGCCGCCTCAATTCCTCTCTCACTCTCTCTCACTCCTCAGTTCCACAGTCCACCTCTCTCACTTCCTCTTCCTCTTCCTCACTTCCACAATCTTCATGGCCCAGGCCGAAACATCTCCTCAGGCTCAGGATCTGTCTCCGACTTTGGGGGGACACCCGCACCCGTCACCGTCGCCGAGACTGAGGTATAAACTTTATCTTTTGCTCTTCTTCAAGCTTCTGACTGTAATTATTCTTTAATTTTGATTTATTTCCTTGGATACAACAGCTAGTAAGTTGAGATATCGGCCTATCAGTTTCATGTTCATTTTTGCACTCCTATTCTCTTATGATTTCTGAGTTTGTGCTTTGATAACGATCCTTAATTTGTTTTCTGGTATATATGTTTTCATGGATGATGATTTTGTTCCTTTTTTCCCCTCTTGTTTTTCCAAATTAAGCCGGCAACCCCTGAAATACTACTATTTAATATTCATGGGATCCCTTACCCGTCACGATATATTCTATTTGATTTAGCATTTGGCAAGTCTACTGTTTAAGTCATTCTAAAAAAACAAAGTTAGAACCGAACAAACCGAACCGAACCGCACCGAACCGACTTGCAACGGTTCGGTTCGGTTTTAAATTATATGCGGTTCGGTTCGGTTGTTCAAAATTTGGTAAAAACCGACCCGAACCGAACCGTGCTCAGCCCTACTTCAAGCCGTCTTTATAACTAGGAGCGCGAACAGATCGGATATAATACTTATTAGGAACAAATTTTTAAAATAAACTCATTTATATTTTTAATTGTCAAAATAGACCCATTTCAGTGTATTTATCAAAACCGGCCCATTTTGTGGCCACGTCAACAGCGTGGCCACGAAATGGGTCGTTTTTTTTAATGTCGCCTCTAAATAGTCGGGGTTGACAACCCCGACTATTTAGCTATGTACAAGCTAAATTAGTCGGGGTTGACAACCCCGACTAATTTAGGGTCATATCTAATTGGTCGGGGTTGGCAACCCCGACCATTTAGTAGAGGAAAAATTTCCTACGACAAAAATGGTCGGGGTTGGCAACCCCTACCATTTTTTATCCAAGAAGGTTTTTTTTAAACAATCCAAGAAGGTTTTGCTGTTATCCAAGTTTTCTTTTCTATTTAGCATTGCATTTTGATTCTATACAGACTACACTAACATAATCTGAATATTTTCTCTTTCCTTTTCTATTTAGCATTGCATTTTGATTCTATACAGACTACACTAACATAATCTGAATATTTTCTCTTTTCTTGCTTGCTTCAAATTTTACACTAACATAATCTGAATATTTTCTCTTTTCTTGCTTGCTTCAAATTTCAGTGGGTTCCTGAATTGAGACATTATGCACCAAATGTACCTATCGTGCTCGTAGGAACTAAGCTCGGTAAGTACAAATGAAACTAAACAATGTTACATTTAACCTTTGCTAGTAGACATTTAATTTGCTCGGTATGTTGTAGATTTTGATTTTATATTTTAGCATATACAAAACTGGTTAAAAATGTTGGTACAGATTTACGCGATGATAAGCAGTTCTTCATTGACCATCCTGGTGCTGCACCAATAACAACATCACAGGCAAGTTATTTTTTGGACAAAAAACCCGGGTAGTTACTTAAAAATTTTCCTCTACTAAATGGTAGGGGTTGTCAACCCCAACCATTTTTGTCGTAGGAAAAATTTTCTCTACTAAATAGTCGGGGTTGCCAACCTCGACCAATTAGATATTGTCCTAAATTAGTCGGGGTTGCCAACCCCGACTAATTTAGTTTGTACATAGCTAAATAGTCGGGGTTGACAACCCCGACTATTTAGAGGCAACGTTAAAAAAGAACCGACCCATTTCGTGGCCACGCTGTTGACGTGGCCACAAAATGGGTCGGTTTTGATAAATAAAACTTAAGTGGGTCTATTTTGGCAATTAAAAATATAAATGAGTTTATTTTAAAAAATTGTTCATACTTATTATTTCCATATTATCAATCATGAGTATTAATATGGATATGTCTTACTAGGAAAAAGTCTTATACATATCCAAAAAAAATTTCCAGATACGGATATTGTTGTCAGCCGCCTTTTGTTGACAAAGGCAAGTTAGGCACCGAAAGGTGCTGTTTTTTGAGAAAAATGAATTGTCAGCCGCCTTTTGTTGACAAAGGCAAGTTAGGCACCGAAAGGTGCTGTTTTTTGAGAAAAATGAAAAAGATGATGGGTCCCACAGTAAAATATTATTAATAGCGGGTCCCACTAATAATATTTTATTTATGCATAGTGTTTCCCAAACACTATAAATAGGGCCCTAAACTTCTTAAGGAAATCTCATCCCAGAAACAACTCCTCTTATAGAAGAGTAAGAGAAAACATAGAGAGAGTTTGTGAGAGTTCTTGGAGTGTATCTGATCAAGAGAGGGTGTTCTCTTGGATCAATTCTTTTGGGATATTAAAGAATTTGGCGTCGTCGTTGCACCGTGGAGTAGCTCCGAAGGAGTGAACCACGTATATCTGTGAGTACTCTGTGTTGAATTTTGTGCCTTTATTTTGTGATTAAGTCTCCGTTCGAGGCGTTATTATTGGGGTGAATCCTAACAACTGGTATCAGAGCCTGACTTAGAGTATATATATCTGCTTATCGTATGCTCTGTGGCTGCCACTAAAAGTGGATCCTCCACATCAGAAAATAAGTTAGATTAATATTTACTCTTTTAAGGCATTGGGCACTATTCACGTGTACGACACTATTCACGTGTACGGTACTATTCACGGATACGGTACTATTCACGAATACGATACTATTCACGGATACGATACTATTCACGAATACTGTACTATTCACGAATACGGGAAAGACGTAATCTTTCGCCATGGGATCTACAGTTGAAGACAACAGGCTTCGAATTGAGAAGTTCGGCGGCCAAAATTTTAGGTATTGGAGGATGCAAATAGAAGACTATTTGTACCAGAAGACCCAGCCAACATGAAAACAAAAGTGGGGCCCACAAAGGCGGGCCCCACAAGAAGAAAAATCAAATTCGGTGGCAGCCATTGTTGAGAATTTATAAAGGATGTGGGTCCCACAAATATTTTATTATTAGTGGCGGGTCCCACATATAATATTATATTTGTGCATAGTGTTTTCTCAAACACTATAAATAGGGCCCTAAACTCTTAAGGAAATCTCATCCCAGAAACAACTCCTCTTATAGAAGAGTAAGAGAAAACAAAGAGAGAGTTTGTGAGAGTTCTTGGAGTGTATCTGATCAAGAGAGGGTGTTCTCTTGGATCAATTCTTTTGGGATATTAAAGAATTTGGCGTCGTCGTTGCACCGTGGAGTAGCTCCGAAGGAGTGAACCACGTATATCTGTGAGTACTGTGATTGATTTTTATACATTTATTTAGTGTATTACGTCTCCGTTCGAGGCGTTATTATTGGTGTGTACCCTAACAACCAGAGCCTGATTTAAAGTATATATATCTGCTTATCATATGCTCTGTGGTTGCCACTAAAAGTAAATCCTTCACATCAGAAAATAAGTTAGATTATTATTTACTCTTTTAAGGTACTGGGCATTATTCACGAATACGATACTATTCACAAATACGGTTCGAGAAAGACGTAATCTTTCTTCATAGGATCTACAGTTAAAGACAACAGGCTTAGAATTAAGAAATTCGGCGGTCAAAATTTTAGGTATTGGAGGATACAAATAGAAGACTATTTGTACCAAAAGGATCTCCTCCTACCCCTCCAATGAGAGACGGGGAAACCTGAGAAAATAGACGATGATAAGTGAAAGGTGCTCGATCGTAAAACACTTGCCACCATCAGGCTCAACCTTCACCAGCATGTGACTTACAACGTCTCGCATGCGACCACCACCAAGGAGTTGATGGAGGCCTTGGAGGCGCTGTATGAGAAGCCGTCTGCTTCAAATAAGGTGTACCTGATGAAGAAGCTATTCAATCTCAAGATGCAGCAAGGAGCTCGCGTGGCGGACTTCTTGAACGAATTTCAGGCTGTGGTGCAACAGCTTGCTGCAGTAGATCTAAAGTTCGACAACGAGATCCAAGCTCTTCTGCTACTTTCTTGTCTACCAGATTCATGGGAGAATATGGTAATGGCGGTGAGCAACGCTAATGGCAATGACAAGATGAAGCTCGACACAGTGGTTGGGGCAATTCTGGATGAAGAATCTCGCCGCAAAGTCTCAGGAGCTGAGGCCTCTAGCAGTGGGAGTGCTCTGCATGTCGAGGCACGAGGGCGTGCACAGAAGAAGGGTAGGGGACGACGAG